GAACCGTTGCCCTGCATCACTGCCACCCACAAACTCAATCTGAAAAAATGCTGATTTGAACGAGAGCTGCACCCCTGAGCTCTACCATCGCCCCAGGCTGCCTTAGCCACCTGCTCCAGGAACACCTGCTGAGGGTCAGAGCATGGACAGCGTATGCTTCCCTACCATAGTCTCCAGATTATTTTGTACTGGTAACTGTTATTAAAAAAAAAACCCACAGAAAATAATAAAAAAAAAAGAGTAATGAGAAATTAGGGGAGTTTTCGTAATGCTGAAACTACTTTTATTAGGAAAATTGGTTTTGAGAAAGGTCTCTAAACACATTTCTATTAACAAACCTTCTGGCAGCTGTGGAAATAGCGTGTGGCTGTCAGCACGCCCAGCGAGCCTCCCAGCAGTCCATGGATGAGCACAGTCCTGCTGGAACATGCGCACCGGGTACGTCACGCATCTGCCAGAGATGTGCTCTCGGTTGTCCCTCACAGCTCTCATTCGCTGAAGCCCTTGGACCTTGGTGGAGATTGAATTTCCTGACTGACCTCCCACTGCTGAGGAAGAAGGGGGAGCTGTGGCTTGGTGGAGGTTTAGGTTTCACCAGTCTTCCCAATTCGGATGGGATTTTCATGGACGAGCTGGTTCTGTATCAACTGATCCCAATGTTGCAAAAGCCAGCGAGGGTGGAAAGGGGCTGTTGGCGGTGCTGGATGCTACGATGGGCACCCGGCAAACACGCCGCTTTTCTAGCACTTACTGCTGCAATCCAGGAGCACATCGAGCCTTAATGTGCCAAAAATTAAGCGGGTGCAAAGCAGAGGCTACGCACAGCTTGTATCAGCGAGCACAGCCCGGGCTTTGCAGAGCCACTGACCCCGCTCGAAGTGCAGGACTCACCTGTGGCTCTGCCCTGGCAGGGCAGCCTGACTTGGCTGCCAGCCCTGCACCTTGCTGGGAGGGCACAGGAGGAGAAACTATTTTTAGCCGATGCGGCAGGCCAGCTTAGTGCCAGCAGGGGTGACACTTCTCGCCCCCTCAGACTGGCTTGTGCTGAGGGTTTTGCAAAAATTTAAAAGGCAAATCAGTTGCAGTAGCTGTTGGGGAGGGAGGTGAAGGTGTCAGGTACTATTTAGCCCTCTGTCCTTTCTTAGTGTCAGAAGAATGGGACAGAAGCCAGACAGAGCCACCCGGAGCTGTAATTCCCCAGCAAAGAGGACACCAGCTGCCTGACATGGGCGTTGTGCCTCTGCCACCCTCCTGCTCCTCCCAGGCCAGAACGAATTATTTTTTAAAATATGGAGATATTTTGTGACTTAATGTCCCAGCTCCTGCAGCTGAGGACACAATTGTCAGGCTCGTGTGATGCAAGGGCATCTAATTTGCAGGTTTAATTAGATCCATTCCTTATTCCTTCTTGCCTCACATAGTTGTGTATCACCATTAACCCTCAAGTCTCAACATCATTCTAGCAGTGGATAAAGTGACCAGTACAGATAAGTACACTGGTCCCCAGCACACACGTGCGCACACACATGCACAGGAACATGCACACCCACTGCCAGCTGCAGCTGTAGCCTCTTGGCCCGTGGTCCCTCCAGGCTGAGCCTCAGGCTGTGACGGACCCTGGGAAACTGGCGTCCCTTAGCTGGAACAGCTGCACGAACGCTATTGCTTTGGCATCTCTGGGTTACAGGCACGGCCCCTCACCCTACCCTTTTCTCCTTATGGCCCAACTCTGTGAGCGTGCTCCCCTGGCAGGCTGGCCGCTCTCAGCTTATGTCGCAACCCGGCTGACCTGCCAAACTCAGCACATTTCCACGCCCAAATGAACAGTTCAAAAAGCCCAACTGAACTGTTGACCAGAAACTGGATCAACAGGAAGTAACTAAAGAAAACCAAAACTTGTTACATTTGAAGTCCTGTAGGCTTTTTTCAAACTAACTCTCACCATATCAAAGTGCTGAAACATTGTTTTGGATCACCGGAAGCCTGCCAGACCGCAGAGAAAAGGCTCCAGCCTTTCTGAGCTCCCGGAAGGGCTCCTTGTCCACTAGCAGCTGTGCCCACAGTCCCCATCCACGCCTGACATGGAGCACTTTCTCCCTTCTTTTTTTTTGCAGATCAGTCTTTTGTTTATTCACTTCCCCAGTTCGCCCTTGGTGTTGCTTCCTTTCACCTGACCCCAGAGAGGGGTTTTGCCATGCTCTTTGCTAAAGGTAGCTACAGAAGTTGATGAAGTTCGATCTGTTCCTGGGGGTTTGCTGAGGAGTGAGCCGTGATTTTGGCCTTTAGGCTCTGGCCTGATCCCTTTTCAGTCATTTGGGCTGCTTTGTGAGAGGCACATTCGGGATCTGCCACAGGAGGAAGGTGAGGATGCTCTCTTCACCAAACAAGGGAGGCTGGAGGCTCCTTGGGACCCTCTCAGCCTCTCTGCTGGGTGCACATACAGCATTACTGCCAGAAAACAGGTGTCTCTGAGCCACCGTCACACAGACCAGGGAGGTCCCAGCTCCACTTTCAAACACCTGTTCACATGTGCATGCACAGGCAGTACCTCTTGAAAGGAAGGGAGGTGATCCCCATGCTATAAGGCACCAACAACATCAACCTCCATCAACAGCACCTACATGCCGAGCGATCCTCATGCTTTTCTCTGAAAATAGAGAGGTCTACACTGCCCATTCCCCATGGGGTGGGGGGTGTCGAGCCCGTTGCCTCTCAAGCGGAAAGGAGAGAGGGGGAAAGAGGAGAATAGGAAAGGGAAGAGGGAGGGAAAGGAGGCAGAAGCTGAGGCCAGCACGCCTGGACCAGCAGGGATCTCACAGCCCCGGCCGGACCCTGCGGCTCACCGCCCACGCCACAGCCAGCCGTGCCAGGCATCGCGCTCCTACTGCGTGGCTCCTCCCTGCCCGAGCTTGAGGAGCTGGCTTGTGCCCCGTGGAAAAGCCCCGGGATGGCCCGCAGTGCCCACGCAGCCCCTGCCCCGGCCCTTGGCGCCAAAAGGGCTCCGTCCCGTCTAACGTTTCCCTCTTCCACTGCAAGTATGGTCCGAAAAAAAACAAACAAGCGGGGTGAGAGGGCGATACCTGGTGAGGAGGAGGCCCCCGGGCCTGCCTGGAAGAGCCGCCCTCCCGGGAAGCGGAGCGGGAGAGGCCGGCGCGATGAGTGGGGGGAGCGCAGGGGCTGGCGGCACGCGCAAAAACCCCTTCCCCGAGGCCGGTCTCCGAGCGCCCGGCTCTGCGTCCTGCCGCTAATGAAGGAGCTGTTTGTGCCTGGGCAAAGGCCATCTCCAGCGCTGGCAGCTCTCCCGGGAGAGCTCGGCTGGTGCTGCTGGAGATATGCCCTTCCCCGCCCGCCCATGACTTTTCCTTGGCTATTTCCCCTGTGCGATCAAGAGGACGCTCATGTGGCCTCGCTGTCCTGAGCAGAATATATCATCTTTTTTCTTCTCTTACAAGCAATTAATTACGTTCTGAATGTTTCTGAAGCTGCCTTAAGGTTGTCACAGTGCTCGAGCAGTCACATTAGACAACAGGATGGCAGCGACACAGCATGTCCGTGGCCCCAGCCGCTTCAGTCATCACAGGTCAATGGAGAACGAGTCCCTGCTAAAACATAAAAGCCTGACGAGCACAGCCAGGCAGGACTGTCCAGATTAACCTTTTCCAGCAGAAAACCACAAGTTTGTCAAAACCAAACCTGTCTGCAGGATCACTAGGATGCAATTGTAGACCAAGGATTGTTGGCTCCAGGGTGTTTGCCGTTGGCAGGACATTTTGGCCAATATTTGACTGCTTGAGCATTCATCCCTGAGCAGGCTCAGCAGGACAGTGTTTGGAGACTGTTCCCCTCCACTTCTGTTGAACATTTGCCATGGATCTTGCAAGCAGGTACCTCTTCTTCATAGCCATTTAAATACAGATCAGGCAGCCATCCAAAGGGCATCTGTACATACAGCAACAGCATAAACAACACGCAAACAGCTGTTCATGCTCCCCAACCTAGCTGTGTTCTTAAATGGTAAAACTAAAGCCATGATGTATTACACATATGTAATCACTGACCTTTTTGGATGCAGAATTTTGAGGGCTTTTTTCCTTTAAAAGTGAAAAGAACAAGGAATAATTCTGCCAAAGTTATAGTATAGCTTGATTCTTCTGAGTGGTTTGAAAATAGTCTATTGAATAAGACAGGGAA